TCTGAGCGCACAACTTCAAATTCAATTGATGGGTTTTGAAACCAAGTCTGTCCCATTTTTCCGTCTTAAAGTCTCTACATTATTTGTTTTTTTTCGATTTTTTGGGGGCTCATCTTACCACGAAATAATCGTGAGTCAAGAGCCAAAAATGGTCTGAGGGTCCAAGCTATATGTTCATGTGACCGAGCATGACTGGTAAAAGAGGGCTATAGGGTTTCCGATACGACACAACGCATCCCAAAATAAATCACTACAAAATGCGTTTCCGATTTATGAGTGTAAAATGGAACGCCGCTACAAGATACAGTGCACACCCTTTTACTACAAAAACTGGTGCACGGGTCCATTTTTTTTGCTTGAATTATCCACGAATCAGAGGATGGTACCAAGCACGTGTTCACCCTTTTAGTAGTGGAAATGGTAAGGGGGATATATATAATATATATTAGATTTTAGAGTATCGTTTAGCATTATATATGTCCAGAAGCATTCCAACGAAAAGAAAGTTGAGTAGATGAAACACCAGTGAATTCACAAAAACTGTATGTTGCAAAGTAAAGTTGCCGAACGAACGCTGGAATTTATGATTCAACGATATAACATATTCCAAGAAATAATGCCAACAATAGAAAAATGAGAAATACAAAGTGTTCTAAACTGCCAAAACAAAATATCAGTAAATAATCCATGAAAAACAAAGTTGGCATACAATTTAATTGCACTATAGCCTTTCCCAGTACAGGCACACAAAGGAAAAAACGTGTGGTTTAAAATCATGAACATAGTAACTCAACATTTGGAATTTGAACATGAACAGGGACAGTGGAATAATATATCTAGAAATCAACTACAGAAGCAGTGACCACAAAAATATAAATGAAGGAAAATGGACAAGACAAAAACTGCTAGAACAAACTCCGTTCTTGATAGACTAGCCTAAAAGGGACCCTGGCTCCCACACTGTACATCTAGAGCTAGAGAAAACGTCTCAGAGTCTCAGATCTCTTCAGATCTCCTAAGATCTCCTAAATATAGCCAAGCGGGAAGACCTCCTGAGTCTCAAGATGTCTTAAGTGATCGTTGATCCAAGTCTCGGTGATTGAGCTGCATCAGAGTGGAGCTTTCCTCCTGGGACTCCTCTTGACAGCTCTGCTCTGCAAGCGCCTGCATCATGAGAACCACGAGAACCGTAACCCTCGCCATGACGTGATGCCGAGATATGCCGAGTCTCCGAGAATCTGACAACCCGAAAGGGCCGACCTGCTGAGCTGCTGAGCCACTAGCTGACGCAATGCATCTCGCAAGAAGCAAAATGGCGTCATTCAAAGCTGCGGTCACAGCAGTCTCAACACAATGCAGTTCACACTGCTACCGACCCTCAGAAGCCGCTGCTTTTCACAAGCTGACAGCTTTTTTTGGATATTTTTAGGTGTTTGTTTGGTTTTGAGTAGCCTCGTAATGACATTATCTAGATAGAATTGATTGGAATTGCAACTTATTTCGCCCTACACAGCATGCACAATCCGATCAAAAGGCCCTGTTTAAGTTTGTGACGATATAACGTGTACCTTCAGCTGAGTTATTTGTCTTGCATCTTTTTCTGCTTGCATGCAACCGATCCAGTGTCGAAAGGAATCCACTGGGGGCACATTATGTTCCCAGAGAAGCGGGAAACCAGTGCCTTCGTCAAAGGTGCAACAGCCGGCCATCGAAGCACCCTCAAGTCAACCAACAACTCCATTCTGCCATTCTGAATTACATCTGGAGGATCAGTCTGTGAGGCAAAGGATGAGTTGTGACAAAAGTCAGATTGCCTCGTTGTTGAAAAGAAGAGGAAATGGACCCAAGTTTGGAAAACGCGGAATTGGTCTTTGATCCATTTGATTGCATGTAAATGTATTTAAATGCATTTTATATATTCTATACTTGCTATTTCTTGATGTACAACACGCTTCTTTTAGATGCATACACCTTCAACACTCCTTGAGCAAAGTCCAAAATTATACAAAGAAGCTACGCGAGTGAAGCAAAGTGACGGAGAAGAAACAGGAGGATGCTCCGGTACTTCCGGGCTGCTTTGACGGTATATTCCGAGCTTCATGAGCTATGAGCCACAAACAGAAATGGCCATCCTGATTGAATTTTCCTATTTGAATTGAGAACTGGCCAAGATGGCTAGCCTCAAAACGTCAAACTAATCCGCAGACCTCATCTCTTGTGACAAGGCCCGACCAAAGTTTGGCCTGGGCCAACCTGGTTTATAGTCATTGTGTCTGCGTGGGTGTCTTCGGAAACTTCGCCAAAAAGCCCCACCAGACGGATGTACCCACTGACATCAAAGGGAACTGTGAAGAGCCAACAACAACACTAAGAGAATCAAGTTGCGTTAGTCTCTGCAAGTCTAAGCAAATACAGTATGCATCGGTACGCCATTTAACTTTCTTTGTTTAGCAGGTACTTTGTTGACCCAGGTCTTCTCAAAGGGCCCCCACAGGCTTTA